ACCGACCCGAACTGCAAGTTTTCAGTACCAGATTTTCTAATTTGCTATTTCAAGGAAACAGCAATTCTACCACTACCAAAACAATTTACAATTCTCTTATGATAGAATTTGAAAAGTAGACTTGAACTAAACAGTTTCTAGGAGTATAATCTCAGTAATACCAAGATAGAACATGGCTAGAATTATTATAATGATTATCTTAGTCAGTATGTGAAAAATAATATATGCATGTCTTTTCTCTGTGAAACAGGAATGGTTTGGGAGCAAAGGATGTTGTAGATGCTAACATTTTATAATTTTGTTTCCCTATCAAAACAATTATTTGGGCCAAGTGACTGAATATATAATTTAAGAAGTTTCATCATTTAATCTAAAAATACACTTGTAAAACTTCCTTTGGGAAAAAAATGTCAAATACTTGTTCGGCACAGTTATGTGATATCTTGCCACAGAAGGCTAGAAAAGTTTTACCTGATATATATGATATATTACTCCCTATATCATAGTGTGATATGCCACCCATGTTTTTCTTTCCCTATATATTTTAAGTTGTGAGAATGTTAAATACTGCTTTGTACTCAATTACCATACTTTTCCTCAGATGAGCTTTTTTCCCTTCTAACTTTAGTTTATTCCTTGTTCTTTACTACCTAACTTTTGTCTGTTATGCAGAATTAATTGATTTTGTTCTTACTGTTAATTTTTTTAAATTCTCTCATTTCTTAGAAGATGTAGGAATATATAGTTTATAATATAAACTCTAGTATACATATGCTAATTTCAGGATAAGCCCTTAATATTCACTTATTTTGTATCTCTGTCACTTAAATGTAAATTACTGTTTTGAATCTCATCACAACTCAAATGGCCTGTTTTTTTTGTTTTATAGGTAAATTATGCATGAGGACTGATTATTAGAGATATATGCTCAATATGACATAGCCAATCAATAAGCATTGTTTAGGACCTCAGTTTTTAAACCGGCAGAAGTGTTCTTTCATTGTGTCATTCTGCCTTAATAATTAACACATGATATTGTAAGGTGAACGAGCCTCAGTAATAGACCAATATTACCTTCAGGAAGATTTTGGGAAATGCAAGCACTCTGGAATTCATCACATCAACAACAGTCATAATAGTTTATATAATACAGGATTTTATACAAACAACAAAGAGCAGGGGAACAGAAAACATAAATGTTATTGTTGTCTAAGTAATTGCTAATGTGCTTTTAGAGTATATTTCAAATTAAAGAAATGGTTTTTGAGATAGAAAAGGTATATTATTAAAAAATTAAATAGTTTGAATTTCACTAATCTCATGTGTTAGTTCTGAGGTTCTGAGGAAATTTTGTACATCACATGGTTGGAGAGGGGACAGGTTATACTTACATCGGTAATCGATTTTTGACATTTGTAGAGAAAGGTCTAGTAGCCAGCTTTTATTGAGTGCTTAGGTATTTGGCAATATACTAAGCAATTTACATGAATTGACTTATAAAACAGTAATTCTTGAAGTAGGTACAATTTATATAGAGATATACTTTGAGCACATTAATACACAGAGAATGTAGATATTTTTTCTGAAGGTTACACAGCTGTTAAGTGGTAGAGCCATTTTCTAAAGTAAAGCAGTCTGGCTCCAAGGCTTCCACTTTTAACCACTATACAGATAGTGTTTAGCTCCAGCACAGTGGGATGAGATTGCCTTTGAACTCCCTCCTTGTGTGGCTGTGGAGTTCTGTGTGTAACCTGTGTATGGATGTGGTGCCTTTGTAGAATATGCTTATAGTTGGGTTTTTCTTCAGGATATGCAGATTGGGATGTTCGGCGAAGGAAATAGGAAAGGTTTATCTTGAAGTTAGAATTAATGGGGCATACAACAGTTCCTAAAGTCCTTCAGTCACTTGACTTGACTAGCTGAACTAGTGTGAATAACATATTGATGATTTTTAAATATTCTCTTGCTCTGGCCAATGTGGCTCAGTTGGTTGGAATGTCGTCCCATAACCAAAGAGTTGTGGGTTCAATTATGGTCAGGGCACATACCTAGGTTGTGGGTTCAGTCCCTGGCCTGGGTACATATGATCCTCCTTTGGGGTGCATACAGGAGGCAACCAATTGATGCTTCTCTTGCATTGGTGTTTCTCTCCCTCTCTCTCTAAAATGCGATGAGAAAAATGTCCTTAGGTAAGGATAAAAAATGTATTTTTAAATACTCTCCCAAATTTATTTATCAATTCCATTCTTTTCCTCATTTTTAGTTTATATATTTATCTATTTTCTTTTTATATGATTTTATATATTTACATTATAAAATATATAGTTTTATTTTTTCTTTTTTTCCCCCATAGATGCAACAAAAGCTTGTGTCAGATATTTCATTTCTTGTTTAAGAAGGAGAGTGTTTGGGGATATAAATTTGCCTTTAAGTAGAGCTATGGCCACATCTGCGTAGTTTTGATACAACAATGTTTCTCATACCCTTTAATTACTAGGTAATCTGTAATTGTGGTTTGGATAGCTTTCTTTTTTTTATTAGTTTTCTCTTTTTTTTAAGATTTTATTTATTTTATTTTTAGAGAGGGGAGGAGGGAGAAAGAGAGAGAAAGAGAGAAACATCAATGTGCGGTTGCTGGGGATCATGGCCTGCAACCCAGGCATGTACCCTGACTGAGAATTGAACCTGCGACACTTGGTTCCCAGCCTGCGCTCAATCCACTGAGCTACACCAGCCAGGGCTGGATAGCTTTCTTAACCAAGAGTGTTTATAAATTTCCCAGTGGTCAGAGAACTTTGTTGTGGGATTAACTGTTGTTTTTTTTTTTCTTTCTGTATCAGGGTCTAAAATTGTGATCTTCCAAAAAAGACTTTATTTATATAGTTTTAGAGAGATAGGAATGGAGGGAGAAATAAAGGGAGAGAAACATCGAAGTGTGACAGATATATCAACTGGTTGCCTCTCACATGCCCCCAACCGGGAACCTGGCCCGTAGCCTAAGCATGTCTCCTGATCAGGAATCCAACCTGTGACTCTTTGGTTCACGGCCTGGTGCTCAATTCACTGAGCCACACCAGCCAGGGCAAAAAAATTGTGATGTTTAACAAGGAATTAATTTTCTTCATGCCTAACCAGCATTTGTAATTGTTTGTTTGGTAACAGGAAATGTTTATTGGTACTCCTTACTCTTCTCCCCAGAGTGTCAAGTTCACAGAAGCAAGGGTACTAGTATGGAGCTCTTAGTATGGAGCAAAGGTCATGTGTGTGACATGGACCGGCATCCACTGTCACATGTGTATATGGGACCCTAGGGAATACTTGCTGGGAGCAACAGGCAGCACAGCACCACTGTTAAATAAATATATGCGATCCTATGCTCCATAAGAGATTTGATTTTGTGTCCTTAGAAAAAGCACTTCCCCAATTGTTAAATTTTTAAGTCTGTTTTTTGGGGGTTTTTTTGTTTTTTTTTTTTCATTTTTTTGTGCCTAGAAAAACCTCTTCTCTCCTGAGATAGCCTCTAAGGCTTGTAGGAACTGAGGGGTATGACAAGAAAATGAAAACACAGGATTAGGGGCAGACAGTCTGCATGGAATATATGCAGTAGTTTCTGGTACTCCAGCGCCTTTAAAATTTTACCAGAGCCTTGGACTTCTGGGAGAGACACAAGGTGCCTGTAGTTACCTGATTTTGTCATTGTTTTTTCCATTAAATATTTGGAAAGCATATTCTATTAGAATTCACTGATCACATCAGTTTTTCTCATAGGTATTCCATAGAACACTAACTCTGTAAATGTTACCTGAGAGAAAGAGGTTCTGTGCCATATAACTTTGGAAACCACGTAAAGCAGGTTTAATTATAGCAGGACTATGTAGATTCCTTAAGCTGATATGTAGTGTGGTGACATGTGCAGCATTTTTAAACCTACTCAAAGGAATTATCTCAAAAGCTTGGCCTTTCCCCTGCATGTTGGATAATATTAGTGAGGTTCTTTAGGTATCTTGTTCATTTACCTTCCTGATAAGTTGTTCCTCCATGGTATAGGAACTGTGGATCAGACAGTTCTTTCTTTTAGGCACCTCCCATTTGTAATTTAGTAGGCATTTTATTTATATTTTCTCCAGTTTCCAGTAATCATACAAATTACATGATTTTAGATTTTCTTGATTATTTTAATGGCATCTGGGCTTGTGTACTCATAGCCATGTTACCCAGAATTCACTCAGATGTTGAAACTTAACCTTCTTGAGGGAAGGAATGATGCTTCTCCCTCTTTTTTATTTTTTACAAGAGTCTTTTCCATACCTCAATCACTGACTTCCTACTCTTTGAGACTTTTACCATTCCATTTATTAAATTATTTTCTGTTAATGCCATTAAAAAAATAAAATTTTTTAAATTTTTTGATGCCTCACTTAATACCATATTCTCTAACAGTTTTGGGGAAATGATGCTGCATAAAAGTATTTTTTTCTTTTTAATTTCTCTATGACAATAATAATGGCATTTGTGACATCTTAACATGTGGAGGGCCACGTTGTGCATTTCTCCATGCTGTGCACGGCATAACTTGGGGTTGTATCATTCTTACCGATTATGATGTGAATGGCATGTTCTGGAGTTGTGCGGCCTCGTGACTCTCTGGGCTAGGCACTGTGCAGGAATCTTTATGCATAGTTTAACCCACGTAACAATTCTTTGTGGTGTAGGTACTGTTATTATCCTACATTACAAGCGAGGGAAGAATGGCCCAGAGAGACAGAAGTTAGTCAGCCACATAGCAGGTAAATGGCAGAGCAGGAGCTAAGAACCCAGGCAGTCTGCCTTCAGGGATTTTAATCATACAGTGTATTCCTAGCAAGCTTACTTCAACCTTTGCATTGTACTAAAAAGGTACTATAGGAGGTTTTTTCCCCTCACATTTATAAAAGCATTCAGATACTAATTGTGTGTGTCTTAAAGTTCCAGGTTATTAATTCTTGTGTATTTCATTCCAGGTTAATGGAAAAGGTTCCTTATGGTGTGTTGATCCAGAGTATAAACCCAACCTTATGCAAGCACTGAAGAAGCAACCTTTTCCCTCAGCATTAACATCTCCACAAAGGTATATAGATAGGGTCTTCCATGTAACTGTCAGTGGTGATTTATGAGATTTCCTTGTGTGAGATGGAGAAACTCAACAAAGTTGTAGGGGTTTGGGATTTTTTTTTATTGTATAAAGAATTATATATGGATAAGACATTAGGCAGTTTTATTTAGAGTCTAACTTGTGTTATTAGGAAACAGGATACTGGATAGGTAAGAATATAAATTCTGGGAAATGTAGTTAATACTGAATATGTTATAACTAATCTCTAAAGAAACATGATTTTTGTTTGTCTTTGCTGGTAAATATAATTGTAATGTATTTTCTTGCCTTTTGTTTTCAAACTCAGTGACTCCTATTGGTCTTATAACTTTCCATTTTAAGTCACATCTGAAAACGTACGACCTCCTTAAATCTGATAATGTTTTCTTATAAAGAAGCCTTCAGAATCTTTTTGAATTCTATTATGTACCATATTTTTTTGGACCATAGGACACACCTAGGTTTTAGAGGAGGAAAATAGGAGAAAAAAAGTTTTTGAGGCAAAAAATGTGGTAAAATACTTAATAACATAAATAACATGATATTTCACCAACGTAAATGTAAACAGAAAGAACTTAACAGCAGCATTAACAACCATTATTCATCTCAAATGGGGGAGTATGTCTTATAATCCAAAAATACAGTGTATTCATTTGAGTTTAAAATGTCAGATTTTGTCAAGATACTTTTAAGTGTTGTGTATAATGGTTAATTTGATTTTTGGGAAAAAATTTTAAACTTTTTAAATAAAATAAATGGAAATTTTCAAACATACACAAAAGTAGGGAGAAAGTTATAAGGAAATCCCAGCTGCAACAATTACCACCATTTCATATATTGGGTAGTTTCTTAAAGTAGTATTAGGTAACTTTTAGAGGTAGCTGAAATACAGTAAAAAAATTAGTATGTCTAAATCACTGTAGCTTGTTTAACATATTATAGATAAAAGGATCATCATAATAAGAACTGAGTGGTTTATTCTTATGAAATCTGAAAAAAATTATTAGTTAATGTTGATGTTTATGTTCCAGTTAAAAAACAATAATAATTTAGAAACTAATGGTAAGTCCTGTGATGGTCACTTATGTATTCTATTTAGCTATGCTATTTTTTTAAATTAAAGATTAAATGGGAGATTTGGCACTATTTTTTGTATATCATCAAAACCACACTTTATTGTGCCTTTCATTTGTTGCATTTTCATGTTTATATTTAACTGTATCATATGTTTAAAGGTAGATAAAGATGATTTTATGATTTAAAATTAAGTAGATTAAACAATGACAGCATAAAGGTTATAATCTTTGACCTTAAGACATTATCTTAATATTTTTAGAAACATTTTATCTTTTTCATTGTTTGGCAAAATAACAATTTCATTTGACATGCCTTTGTGTAGCCCCTTTCATATCATAATTGGTAATTCTGAGGAAGAGAATAAGAGACAGTGTATATAAAACTGTGAATAGAAAATAGATTTTTAATTTAGTTGGAAAACCAGAGTTTTTTAATGATATCACAAGCTCAAAAAACAGAAGTAGTTTGTCTCCAGAATGTTTTAATTTTTGGAACTAAAAAGAAATTGCTGGTCTCTTCATGAATATAGAAAGCTTAGTGTGGTAATGATATTTACTAATAAAATCAGGGACTTACCTATTTTGCATCATTACTATACAGTACTCCTTAAACATTTGTTTTGGTAAACACTTTTATTTCTGTGGTAACAACTACAGTGATATTATGTCAAACTTCAGCATTGCAACACCAAATGGTAGCTATTATGTATTGCCTATTGTTCCCACCATTTTAAATGCATTATCCTTATTTAATTAGCAGAGTAACCTTATGTGGGAGGTTTAGTTATTCCTATTTTACAGATGAAGAAACTAAGATTATTTTGCCTAAGAACGTCCAAAGAGCTGTGATTTAATCTTGGATCTTATGTTCTTTCTGCTCTGGCATACTCTTCCTAAACTGAGTAGTATTAAAGAAAAAAGGTAAAAATAGTTTTTGGGTTTGTTTGTTTGTTTTTTTTTTTGTACACATTAGTTGCGTTTGTGACTAAGTTCTGTAGAAAGTGAGATTAAGTTTTTTATAAGTACATTTCCTTCTCTGTTTTTTTCAGTGGCTCTTTATCACCTCACTACTTAAGCTCTGTACTCAAGCAGAACCAGGTGCGAACCCTCAAAGGTATGTGTAAGAGCAGTATTTTAAATCATTAAAAACTCAGGTTAAAAATTAGGATTTAAATTTTTTTTCTAATTATAAAACCATTATATGTTTATTGAAAATTTGGAAAATAAACATACTTATAAATGAGAAATTAAAACTTCCCTTTATTCTACTGTTAACATTTTGATAGAATTGTTTTGGTTCTTTTTGTGCTTTTTATGTGAGTAGGTCATTTTTGCATGCATGCACAGACATGCCCACAAACCTATCTTTTCTCCGAATACTGGATTTATACTATATACACTGTTGTACATCCCATTTTTTTGTTTCTTTTTTTGTGTAGTTTCCCTTCAAAATAGGAAGATATTTCTCAGCAATATCATCAGGAGAGCATCACATATCTTTTCAAGTATATCTGTGGCTAGAACAGAAGGTTGGCAATCGATGGCTCATGGACCATATCTGGTCTGTCACCTGTTTTTGTATGGCCTATAAATTAGGCATGGTTTTACACTTGTAAATACACTTTTAAATAGTTGAAAAAATAATATTTGGAGGCTTGTAAAAATTTGCTGCAACAGCAGAGTTAAGTAGTAGCACCAGAGACCTCTGTAGTATATCCTTGGTTTTGCCTCTTGGCCCATGAAGCCTAAAATATTTACTTAGTGACCGTTTACAGAAGCAGTTTGCCAAGTCTTGCATTAAACATAGTTCAGAAAATTCTTTTATAGTTTATTTAAGTGTAAAGAACTTTAAGAAGGCAATAAGTTAACTTTTAGAATTTTATAATCTTATTTTTGAATGTATATCAAAATTTCGAATTAGTGGGTTATTTCCTCTACTCATAATCGATATTACAGACTAGTGATGTATTAACATAAAGTTTTCTAGCATTGTTGCTTTGGAGCCTAGAGAAATTTTTATAATTTTTATAAATTATTTTAAGTTGATTTTAGAGAGTAAGGGAGAAAGAGAAACATTGATTTGTTGTTTCACTTACCTTATTTATGCATTCATTGGTTGATTCTTACATGGGCCCTAACCAGGGATCAAACCTGCAACCTTAGCATATCAGGACGATGCTCTAACCAACTGAGTTATCCAGCCAGGGCAGACTATGATTTTTAAAACTAGAAATTCTCAGCCCTGACCAAGTAGCTCAGTTGGTTAGAGCATTGTCCTGATATGCCAAGGTTGTAGGTTCGATCCTTGGTCAGGGCACACACAAGAAGTAACCAATGAATGCATCAATAAGAGAAGCAATAAATTGATGTTTCTGACTCTCTCTCCCTTCCTCTCTCACTCTCTAAAAATCAATAGACAAAAATTATTTAAAAAATAGAAATTCTCAGACCAAGAGTCTTTCCATGTATCAGAAACATATTGGCTCTTTGGAATTACAATAAGCTCACCATAGGAAGCAGTGTAATGATGGTCTGTAAAAATAAGGAAGGGAGAGAATGTGAAAAATCTTAAGAGAACTTTGCAAAGAAAAGTGGATATGGAGTCCATTTCAGATATGTTCTGGGTTAATGTAAGGTAAGTGTCCATTTTTCTATTACTTGATGGATAAATGTGGTTTCTCTTTACATTTATGTATTGTTGAAACTTCCTTTATTTTTTATTACCTCATTGATATATGACCCATAGTCTTTTAAGCTGAGTTCATATATACACTTTAAGAACATTTTCTTTTTGAATTACAGAGCTTATTTAGAATTTTGTCTTGCTCTTGTTCCATTTCATCTAAATTCTGCTGCTTCTTTTTGGAGAGCAGACACTTTCACAAGTTTCTCCTGCTAGTTTCAATCACCATTTTTATAACTAAAGTTTAGGTACTTGTCTTTAATGATTTCTGTATATTATGCATGATCTCCCCAGTGCTACTAGCACCTTACTTCCCTTCATTTCTATACAATTAAGTCTTAAGTCTATTCTCATACTAATAATTAACTTGGTGGGGAAGGTGTTTGGTATTCTGGGGTAAAACAAATGCAGATCTGTCCTGGAATAGAATATAAAGTTCTCATGGGTTTTAAGAGAAAAACATAAAATTTGCAAAAGTGTAAAAAAATGTATATTTAAATCAGGTTACCTTAGGGCATTTTCATAGACTTCTGAAGAAATTTGCTTTTTCACCTCTCTTGATATGAATTCTAAAGAAAAGTTTGAAAAAGAGAACACTAAATGATTAGACAATTATTTATTCTACCAGTAATTGTTGAGTTCCTACATAGTGCCAGGCATTGTAGTGTAGTGGTTGGTTTCGCATGTGCACAGATGAAAGACCCAGGTTCTGGTCTCAGAAAATATTGAGTTTATTTGAAGAAGGTTGGCTAGAATTATGTAGAGTACACTGGGGGAAAAGGAAGTGAATGCCAAATTATGCTTAGAGATGAGTTAGGAAAGGCATCTTAGGAGAAGAAAGAGTGGTGGTTGCGCTGGACTCAAAAGTTGGGAGCATTCTTAACCTTGGGTAGAGGTTTGGTTAACCTGTGCAGTTGCTGGGACCTGCAGACTGATGAGTATGGCTGAAGCCCAGGAGTATAGAAGAATACTGGTAGCCTTAGTCTGGTGGCTGTAGATGTTATCATTTTGTATGAACAAGACCAATGAAGAAATTTAAGCAGGCATTAACCAAATCAAAGAGAACTTAGTTAACATGAGTTGGAACTTCTTCCAATGATTATAACATCAGTTAGCATGGAGTTGCTTACTATGGTCCTTTGCATGCATTATCTCATTTAATCCTCACAACTATTTGAGATACTGGTATTCTTTTCCAAATAAGGAAACTAAAGTTGGGAAAAATTAAGCAACTCTCCCAAGGTGACACAACTAGTAAATAGAATAGAAGGAACTCTGATTTTGGAGCCTGCACTCCTACCTGATATGAGACATTGGGGGAGCTGCTTCAGAGCCTTTAAAGAATGAGGTAACATCAGTTTTGTAAAGATTACTCAGGTGTCATTGTTGGGCTTGATGTTAGAGTCTAATAGTAGATTCATTTATCACTTCATGGAAATGTCTTATCATTATATTAGAGTGACCTTTAGACACATATGAGAGTAACAGAAGTTAGGCTTAGGAACTTCAGAAACCAGTATCAGCCAAAACAGGTACAGCAGTTTGTTTAAAGTATAGTCGTCTGTCTTGGTCACCTTAAAATGACTAATTTTATGTATTAGTATCTATGTTACAATATTGTGTAACAGGTAGCAAGAGGCACAGGAATCTCATACTGAGATAGTAAAAGGAAACCTTTTTTGTCAATCTTTGGTTTGCTTTGTATTTGTGGTAAATTCATCTGTCTAAAAATATTTATGGGTCACACTTGTGTGCTCAGCACTATTCTAGGCTACCAAGGATATGTCAGTGAAGGCCCTGGCTGGGTAGCTCAGTTGGTAGAGCGTTATCCTGATACCAAGGTTGCAGGTTCAGTCTCTGGTCAGGGCACATAAAAGAATCAACCAATAAATTTTTTAAAAAGGACACATCAGTGAACAACAAAGCAGGCAAAAATGGAACTCACATACTAGTTAGTAGATTTCAGTATTTATACATAAGCACTATAGTATACTATAAGCAGATATAAAATTTAGACAGTGATAACAGTAGAGGCTAAGTGCAAATCTGAGTTCAAATTTAAGGTGGCAAATGAGCGTAATTTGTATCTTCATTGAAATGAAAGTAAACCCATGGTCCAGGCAGCTTAAAGTATTGGTAATTTATTGAAATCGCTCTCCTAAAGAATCACAGGAGACAGCTTCTCCATTTGGATGCTCTGTAAATGTGTATGTTAATTTTGATAGAGGCAGTAAATCCTCTTAGTTATTGCTGAGCTTATACCTATTTAAATTCTGCCTCTGTGGTTCTCATATCATGCCCTAGGCAAAAGGGCTGAGAAGGAGATAACAGAAACTTCTAAGTAGTGTCAGAAAAAATACATACGAATGACTTTATAAAAACAAAATTTTTGTTCTTCATGAACTGGATACGTTAGATAATATAGCTAATAGTATGTGTTTTAAAAACAGAGCCACCTTTAAAATAGTGTTAAGTACTTATTAATGAAAAAATAACATTATTAGGTGTTTTTTATTGTGACAATAAAAAGGTAAGTCTTCAGTTTATTTTTAATACCAAGACAGATGGGTTACTATAAATAAAAATTATCATGAAGCCTACACAGGAAGAGTTTATTGTTCAAAGAAGCTCAAGGTTGTATCTTAGATAAGTCATTGAAAATCAGGTATTTTTTTAAAGATTTTATTTATTTTTAGACAGAGAGGAAGGGAGGGTGAAAGAGAGGGAAAGAAACATCAATGTGTGGTAGCCTCTCTTGCACCCCTTACTGGGGACCTAGCCCACAACCCAGGCATGTGCCCTAGACTGGGAACTGAACCAGCAATGCTTCAGTTCTTAGGCTGGCACTCAGTCCACTGAGCCACACCAACCAGGGTGATAATCAGGTATTCTTGATTACCAAGTGTTATAAGTCATTTCTCTAATGCATATTTTAACATTCAATTTAAACTTATCAGCGTTAGAGTTAATTGATGAGCCATTGTGGGAAGCATACTTACAAATGTTCTAAATCAAGCAAACCAGATGTAGATAAAATCCTTTTTGCAAAGTCTTGGTTGCATAAAGTTAATTCTATGGGAGAGTCAAATTAATGAGGTTATAATAACTTCTACAAGAAATAAATGTATTTAAGGAACACATCTATCATTCTGTTGTTACAGAAATAGTACCTAATTTTGTTATCACTTTATATATTTGAAAACTAAGAAAAGAAATGGTGTTCATGCAGCTTACTTATATTGCCAGGATAAGCATGTTACCTGTTTTCTTTAGTTTTAGGTCTAGTGTTCAGAAATATAGTTCCTTGAATTGTAATGGAAGTTTGCTATAGGAAGTCAAATTAGAGATATACTGAATTTGAGTAAGATTTTATTTGCTTCATTTATAAGATTACAATTTTCTCTAATTATTTCCTCATTATAATGAATGTCAGTAGTAGTGGATTTGCTCCCTCACCACCACCTCCTTTATATATACAACTGGAAATAGGAAAACCTTTTTTATTAAAGAAAAATTATTTCATGGAGCAGCAAAATCTCTGTTAGTGCTTTTGCATAATGCCATGTAAGTTGTGCCCTGTACAAGGACAACTGGCTAAGGAATGAGTGGGGTCTGAAATCCAACCCACACTCCAGTCCTCAAGCTGTGTGCTTTGATACAGGAAAGTATCCACCTGGAGGGAGAGTTGCCTCTTTTCCAATTCACACAGAGATACAATATGGGCTCCCGGCTGTACTTTTTTGTCTTCAAAGATGTGTTAGAATACCGAACTCTATCAAGTTGTCGTCGGGTCTCATTTTAAAAGATAGGAATAAGAAAGGTCTTTGTTTTGCAAGCTTCTTGGCTATGACATGTGTAAATCATTGATTAGTTGTTGTTTTTTTGCTTGCTGTTCTTTCTGAAGTGCTTTTCCTTCAGATATTCACATGGCTTCATTCTCTGACCTTCCTCAGGTCTTTGCTCAACTATTACCTTCTCCTCTTCCCTAACCTCTGTATTAAAAATTGCAGCCACTTTTCTCAGTATCACCCTTCCCTCATAGTAATTTTTCTTCCTAGTGCTTATCACTCCCTGACATACTGTGTTTTAATTATTTCTTTGTGTTTTGAGATTAGGGTTTTTCCTGTTTTGTTTTCTGCTGTATTCCCACAGCCTAGAATGATGCCAGGCTCATAGCAGTACACTCAATTTATTGAATGAATAACAGAATAAATGATTTCCAGTATATTCTGTAATTTTCTGCAGAATTTCCTACTCCCATCATGAGTCCTTACTAACTTAAGGGATGCCAAGGGATGATGATGCAGTACAAATTGAAGGCCTGGATTCTGGAAGTAGTCTATGGAGGTTCAGATCCTACGTCTGTCATTCCTAGAGACTCCTGCGTCGGTTTTCTTATCTTTAGGATGGAAATACTAATAGTACCCATATCATAAAGTTGTGAGGATTAGATGAGTTAATAATACTTAACACATGTCGAAACCATTGAAAGTACTCAGTGTTAGTAATTTGGTGATACTCAGCTTATGTAAGGAAAGGGAGGCACTTACTCTTTACACATTTATTAAGGACCTACTGTTGTTCCAGACATTATGGAAGACAGCAGATAAGATACCATTCCTACCCTAAAGAAGCTGACATCTAATTGGAAAGACATTCATGTAGAGACTCTGTTTTATGAAGTCAAGGGAAAAGAGCTCTAATATTATGTGCTCCCTCATAGCAACCATCTTATGATTTACTTAAGTTTGTTTATTAAAGTCAATAACAAACATTTCCTGCCTATTCAGAATTTATAGTCACATTGGGGAAAAAACAAGTCAATATCTTAATGATTTTATTATTTTAAATAACTTTATAATTAGATGTTACAAGTAAAATTAAAAACTAGGATGATAAAAATTTTCCAGCTTTGAGATAGGAATGGGAGTTTTCATATCAGTCTTATTTTAAATGTATCCTTTATAACCTAAAAATTTTAATTATTTTCTAACTTTCCTTCACATTTTAGGTTATACCATTTCACTTAAAAAATTTTTTTATTTATTGATTTTGGAGGGAGAGAAAGAGAAACATCAATTTGTTATACCACTTATTTTCATGCATTCATTGGTTGATTCTTGTATGTGTCCTGACCTAGGATCAGACGCGCAGCCTTGGCATATCTGGACAGTGCTCTAACCAACGGAGCTACCTGGCCAGGGCTACGATTTCACTTTTATTCAACTACAATTATTCAGACTAATAGATCACTAAGATGGAAAGGAACTTCCAGTATAAAAAATAGACATGAGAGCAAAATGACCTTATCTGGAGTAGAACATGTTGATTTTACCATCTTTTAAAGCCCATTTTTCTTATGGAATATTCATAATTATGTTTGACCTCTTGAGTATTATATATCTATAGTACTTACAGACTTATATATAATTATGACTAAAAACATTAGTACTAATATTTTTGTGCCAGGAATAATTACTCATTTAGCTTTTGTAGATTCACATGATCTAGACTGACCAATTATGTATATTTTTATTTCTTGTAACTACCATGTACGAGTAATAATGCAGGACTTTATAACTGCACATATGCATAGGTAAGGGTATTTTTTAAATACTAAAGAGGTAAAAATGTTAAAAAGTAATAATACATTTTTAGGTAACTTAGTCTATCTAACAGCAAATCTTATTAAAATGCAGTTCAGATTTTTATTTTAATTGTAAATAATTAAAGAAGAGAACTTTTATTATCTCGTATACCTCTCAGTCCTCCTTTATATGACACTGTTCACAAAACTGTTCATAATTTTAAGTGAACAAAAGCAGATTGCAAAATATGTGCCTCAGTTTGTTTAATTTTTTAAATTTTTATTGAATTTATAGGGGTGGTATTAGTTAATAAAATAATATAGGTTTCAGGTTTGCAACTCGATATAATTCCTCACCTATATCTTATATTGTGTGTTCACCTCCTGAAGTCAAGTCTCCTTTCATCACCATTCTTTTTTTTTAAGTAGGAGAATATGCACCAAAACCTTAACACTGGTTACCTTTGGGTGCGTGCAAATACTTATGATTAAAAACATTAACATCACTCTTTTCCTTTTTCAGAATCTGATATTGATGCTGCCACTGCAATGATGCTTTTAAATACTTCCATAGAGCAAGGAATTTTAGAATGTAAGTCATCGTGCTTTTCTTTGTAAAATACATTTTTGAGTGACTTTTCGAATATAATTCAGAGTGCAAGATATTTAAATGTTACAGCAAAAATATTCTTTCCACCTAAATTGTTTTTATCCAAATAACTTAGTTTCTCTTTTACTGTATTTCCATTAATTTAGTGAGCATTTGAGAGATTGAGAGGTTATTGCTAAGATATATCATATTACATTGAACAAGTAATTAAGAAATAAATAGCATATTTAGAAATTAAGCTTGAAAATTTTAAAGGATTCTACAAGTAAGAAATAAGAAACCAGTTAAAAAAACTAGCAAAATATATGAATAGGTGGATCTTGGGAAGAATTACATATGGACAATGTGCATTTGAAAAAAATATGTAACTTCTCTAGAAATCAAGGAAATGCAGTATGAAACAATATTGAGATACTTTTTTTGTCCATGAGATTATGAAAAATTTAAATGATTTATAATATTAAGTGTTATGGGAACCGGGTGTTGTCATAAACTGTAGGATATAAATTGGCACAACCATGTTGGAGGGCAATTTGGAAATACCAACTGTAAGCTTAAATATGTATATTCCTTTTACTTAATAATTCCACTTCTTGTTTTTTTTCTAGAAAAGTATTTTCATATGTGAGAAAAGGCATCTAAAAGGATTTTCATTATAGTGTTATTTGTAGTAGTGAAAAATTGGGAATCTACAAATATCAACAAGGAAATGGTTAGCAAACCACTGTAGTAATAATTCAATACAGTGATAACATACATATTCAGGCATTCTGTGCGAGCAGTTCAAATAATCTTATTTTCCTTGGGAAGGTCAAGACATACCATTAAGTGGTTTAAAAATGTTTCAGGTTAATACCTACAGGATGATATGGTTTGTGTAAAAAAAAAAAGAAGAAGAAGAACCTACACAATATTACTAATCTATAGCACTTGCTTTTCAGGAATTATATGGTTGTTTTAAATGGCCTGTTTTTGCAATCAAATGCATTTGACCTATTGGAAGTTTTATTTTGCACAGGTGAGAAGCCTCTTTCTCTTAAAACAGCAATGCAAAAAAAAAGGAGTTATGGCAATGCATTTAATCATACCAGTGCTATGCGATTACAAGAAAGTAATTCTTTAGCCACCAGCATTGATCCAAAAGAAGATCACAATTACAGCGCAAATAGCATTGCAACACAGCGTTGTGCATCCAGATCTAGCGTGTCTTCTCTGTCTTCTGTGGATGAGGTATATGAATTTATCCCAAAGAGTAGTCATGTGGGAAGTGATGGCAGTGAAGGATTTCACAGTGAAGAAGATACAGACGTTGATTACGAAGATGATCCTCTTGGAGACAGTGGCTATGCATCACAGGCTTGTGCAGATGCCTCTGCAAAGGGGCAGCCAGGCAAAAAAATGCGAAAACAGTCATGTCAAGAAATTGATGAGGAGCTCAAAGAGGCAGCTGGGTCTCTGCTCCACCTTGCTGGAATTCGTACATGTCTGGGTTCCCTAATAAGTACTGCAAAGGCACAAAATCAAAAGCAGCGGAAAAAATAGAAATACCTATTAGTGTGAAATTATTTTAAAGTGTGGCAATACTCTTCTGCTTAGTTCTTTACAAGGGAATCAAAGCCATATGGACTTATTTTTGTTTTAGAGTGGGGAAAGGATGCCAATTACTTGTTTATTTCAAAACATTTTTGTTTGTGTTTTAAGTTTTATTAAATAATTGCTGTTAGGATCATGTCCAACCATAAATATGATGTGAAGTCCTAAAAGCATAATTTTTGTGATGTGTCTTCAAGATTTTGAAATTTTTATATAAGAAAACCCACAGCTTCTGTCTTAAACTTGTAGGAGAAGTCTTTTATTCTATTAATATGTCAAAGTGTATTAATTGGCAACTCCTTTTCCTCAATCTGTAATTAACTGCTGATCCAGTTAAAAATTTTGCTGATTTCTTTCTCATATACTCCTCTCTGACATATGCAATCCAGTAGGATAAGATTTGAATTTTTTCTTTTGTCTTAATTTTTTTGTTGTCGAAGCATAACACAGTTGAATATAAATTGGAAAAGACCTTAGATGTCTAGAAAATTCTTTTTGGTTACACAGACAGAGTACAGCAAAGATTTATAAGATTTAAAAAGGCAATTTTGTGGTGTAATGTCATCTAAGAGCACTCCAATTTCTATTACAATATCATCTTTGAAAATTTTTTATTTGCCAGATACTCCATAGAATTTATTGGAGCCTTCTGTTCTTTCCCAGAGTGCTTTGCAACCAATGTTTAAATATTAGCCACTAGCTGTCATTTGTTCAGTGAAAATTATCCAATGAGAGGATATAGCCATAGATTGTTATGAAGTTGACACCCATTTTAACACACTTTTGCAATAAGGGAATCTTTTCATTTGCCAGTTAAATGTACTGCATTCTGAGAAACTTGCAGTGGGAATGGAGTATAATCTAATGCAAATGTTTTGAATAATACTACTTATGTCATAAATAAAGGAAGGAATGTCATCATTTAGGAAAAAAAAACTTCTGTCCAAGCTTTTTATGAATTAAATTTGTATATACCCAATTAAATTACAATGGATTTAACAAGACTATAGAGACAAAGTACCTTCATGGATCTCAAAAGGTATATAAAATTAAATCTTAAAAAATACACCCTTTTGAGGAGGCGGTGTAATATCTATTATGTGCCATTAATCCATGCTAAAATATCTTATATTATATTTTCAAATGTGCATTGACTAAGGCATTTTAAGTACTTGAAAAAAATCTGTATGAAACATTTTTTCATATCAGTTTCATATTATTTAGAAGGCATAAGGGATACTAATAAAACTAAACTTATTCATTATATTTTTTTTTATAATGGCAGAAGAAACTTTCCAACATCCTATTTCATAGGCAGTGACTTTGTTTTCATTTTCTGATGATTTCATTTATACAGGGTCTGGCAGAAGTAATGCCTGTTGGAGTGTGGTTGTTGGTAGGGTAATAATATGGCTATAATAACTTATAGTTTTAATTGGAACATTTCACCTAAAATGTCATATGGTGTGCTTGAGTGTATTATTATGTTACAGAATTACATGCTTACAATTTTGTAATAAAAAGGGAGTGTTATTTGTGACGGACCCTGTACATAAATACATATACACAGATAAATAGGTTTATGATTCTGATTTGTTACTTTCAGCTATTTTTATGACTATAAAGCATTTTTTTGGTTTTTTTGAGACAAATATTTTAACTTCTAAGTTTTACTAGAGCAAAACTGTCAAATGAGAAGCATAGTGAAAATGTCTTTTTTAATTGGCAAGACTTTTAAGTCAGGGAGAACAACAATAATATAATCTGTTCTGCTTCTATGTTAATTGTAATTGAACCTGGTTAGCTACATTAATAGAATCAGTGCTGTTGAAATTTGGTAATTTTTAAGTCTGCTATTGAAAAATAGTCCGTAAGCATGCAGGATGAGGTATTCGGTCTTCATATATGTCACGTCAACTACAGAAAGTGGCTAACCCAAGTTGGCATCTTTTAGATAGTGAATATAACACCAAAAATTGCTTTCCCACAGTATAAAATAGTACACAGAGTATAAAATCATTTTAGTAACAATATTTTAAAACTATTTACCATGGCCTTGTGAACAGACCTTAGTAACAGTACTTCAATGTTCTGGGTCCAGTTTATTTTGTTCAACTGAAATTCTGCACCAAAAATGTTCTCTCTAGTTCCTTTCTATTAGATAATTATTCTTTGTAAGTGATGTAAACTGATCTAAAATAAGAATGGGGGGACAGTTGTTCCAAGTTTCAAAAGTAATCTTAAAAATTATTTTGTTTTAATAATTCTTTAAGCTGGATTTTCTTTTTCTCTTCATGTACTCTTCCCACAAATTTAAAAGTTGAAGTTTATCACTAGCAAGGGCAATAAACACTTTTGCACTAAAAGCTAACAGGAAGAAGTTACACGATATTTTACACTTAATTCTTATATAGAATTTAGTGCCTAACTTTCCATTTGCTGATTTACCAACACAGTTATTTTCAGGGGGAAGAGCCTTTTTAATTATGGTCCCCCATTATTACTTCCGTAGACATTATGATCTCATTTCTCAGGTGTATTGAGATAAAAATATGGCTAATAACCACTCAGTTAAGGAAAGTCATTTGAAGTCCTATGGACTGGAAATTATATTTCCAATAATATATCATCAACAAATTTTACTGTAATAAAACAACAATCCTGGAGAACTTACAAATTTTCCAACAGATTTTAAAACTGTGATTTGAGCTAACTTATAATTTGCCTTACATCAATATAATTTGTTATAGCCAATTTCAGTTTATAAATAGAAGATCCCTAGGAAGAGTTTTGCCTCACACAACCTTTATCTTTCACATCCCAAATAGAATCAGTGTTTCTTGACTACTATATATTTTTGAAATTTATTTGTGCAATATATTACTAAATTAATATTTTATTTTCAAATTCAGATAAAGAAAACATTACTTGTATTCATGGAAAAGCTAATTATTGGTGGATCACCTCCTTTTTTCCACCTTCAAGCCTTTCCTGTCCTGTTCTCCTTATAGCCAGCATGACTTTTCTTAACTTAGGTTTCTGTGTAGATAGTAAAGTTAGAATATATATTTTTTTTTCTTTGCTACTTTCTGAGACATTAGGTAAAGGGTTCATACTAGATGGCCAGTTACACATGCATTAGCACGAATTCAAAGCTAGAGAAAATGTTAAAGAGGGAATGTGTGTGTCTTGGTAGACTAGAAAGCCTTTCCCAGCAGTTTAGGCAACATAGGTGAATACTTCACAAATCTGTAAAGACGATTGTCTTAAATACTACAGTAACTTAACAACTTCTTTTGTGAAGACCATAGCGTTTAAATAAGAAATGTTGAGGCTTTCTGGTTTACATATATTTTATACTTTTTGTTTGAAATGTGTAAGCTTTGATTAAACAAAATTTACTTCAGTTTGTTAATGATGTAGTCAAAATATTTATTGAAAAACAGAGTATTTTAATGTTATACCTGCCATTTTTTCTTAAAGCACATTTTTTTTTGCATCTAACTGCCAGTGCCATTGTCAACACTTGTTTTTAAAGTGTTGTACAGTTATTAAACTAAGTGCTTAATTTTAAAGTATTATGTTGCCATCATATAGTGTATAAAAATGTATAACTGCCAATTCATTGTAACTATTATTTATTTTTAATGAAAGTGTAAGAATGCTATTTGATTCAATAAATTTGAATTATACTGTTTCCTTATCCTCTTTTCTAATGCAGCATAAAAATTGCCCTGAGTTTGAGTTTTTTAACTACCAGTAGATGAGCAGTTCAAGTGAATCACTTCTCAGTTGCCAGTCTTTGCTGATATTAAAAACAACTTAACAAAAGTTTAGTTTTTGTATGTATTCTCTGATTATTAAAATGTTTATAAAGTTTATTTTTACCAAAGAGATGCAATTCATTATGATAAGGTATTACAGAATAAACCTTGTTTTATAACATTTTTGTGTTTTCTCTGTTCTTTTGGTGTGAGCAGTATAGATGTAGGTGACTCATAATCCTATACACACACATACTTTCCATTTTAGTGTTACAAAGTTAGAATTATATACAGACAAAAAATAAAGTTTCAATTTCAAGATATTTTTAAAGTTTGCTTAAGTATTGTTTTTCTTGGTTTTTACATGTCATGTTAATCATTGAAAGCTAAAGTAGTGTCAGTTAAGTGATTTTCTTCCTAAAGTTGAACTTTTCTGTTTCACATACATATATGTGAGATTTTTGAAATACAACTAGGAAGAATTAAATAGAATATGAAATTATTAAGATTATTTTTAAATGCCAGTAACACAATATGTTTAAATATTGAGGCATCCATTGTAAAATGGAATAATCTACAACCAACATCTTGATTTTTTATTTCACTCCCCTGTGATTTCCCTTTGAGGTTCTGCATAGGGTTGTCTATTTAAAATGAGTCAGGTGAGACCGGCATCTTCATTTTAAACTACCATCAGTCTCTCCAAAACCTCCTTCCAAGGCATCCCTTTGAAATACAAAGCCATTTAAAAATCATTGCCACTTGGTGGGTGGTGAACACATAATACAATATAGAGATGATGTATTATAGGATTGTGCACTTGAGTCTCCCTTATAATCTCATTAACCAATGTCACTCCAATAAAGTCAATAAAAAATTTTTTAAATTATAGCCATTTGGGGAGTCATGTATTTGTTTCACATGAGAGCTTTATTCTCTATTGCAATCACCATTTTCTAGGGCATACTGATTCTGAAGGGGAAAAGTACACCATTTTTAGAAAAATAATTTATTAAAATATGGGCTAAAAACATTTAGCTTTCTCCTCAAGAATTTTAGGATATTCTACTTTGATAATTTTTAAAACTAGCAAAAAATGCAAAATCTTAGATGTAAAAGTGTTAAATCTTTTTGTAAAAGTTGAAAATCTAAGAATGAAAACAATTACTAAGCTTAAAAATAACAGCATTATTATGCTCCATGAATTTTTAAGTATAGGAATGTTTAGAAACTGTCAACTGAAAATTTAAATAGCATTGTGCTACATACAGAATATAACTTGTGTATTGAGGGATAGTTTGTGTTCCAAAAGTTGTTTACAAATACATTGTTGAAAAGATAGCTTTGTCACTGAACTTCAAGGCACGTTATAAAGTCTATTTATCTTGTAATGTAGTAAATAACCATCCTTCTGAATTGAAAGTGACTCTTACACAAAACTTTTCCTCAGCCTTGAGATTTTGGTTTAAGTATATACTTATAGATCATACTTGTTGGGAAAATTTAATAAAGTAGGAAACTAGGAGTTGACAGAAAAGAGTCTCTGTTGTAGAAAACATTAACTTAGGTGAGATTGAAGAACATCAAGCAAAATTACTGTCTACTGGTTCAGAATTCTAAAGAGAGACTGCAACCAAATTAAAGAACTCTGCAATGTAACTAATAGGATAATCTTGTATGTTTGGACAGGAATTGAGAAAAAGTTCCACATTCTGTTTAACTGAGCACCTTTTCACTCAAGCATTGGGCTTTAAGTTTCGGACATGTGATATGCACTGAGAAGCAAAAATCGACAGTTCCTCTCTTAAAAATGTAAATGCTAAAAAAATGTAAATGTAAAAAAAAATGTAAATGTAAGTTCCTCTCTTAAATGTAAATACAATTATGAACTGTGGTGATTGCCATGAAAGAAAAGATAGGAAGTTATGAAAACATTAACATTGAATCTAGGGTTTTCGGGAAGGCTACCCAGAGGAATGATGTAAGCTGAGATCTTAAACAGGTTAACTTGGGAATGAAAGTTGGCAGCAAAATGGCACCAGGTGTTAGACCTCGGTTCAGCAACCTCAGTACTTGAGTTCTGGCTAAGAAAGAATTCAGAGCCAAGACTCAAACTAGAAGAGAAAGTTCATTTAGAAAACCACAGGTAGAAGAAGTGAACCATAGAAGAAATGGACTCAGGAAATGAGTTACAAAGGCAAAAGAAGGGCCCTTGGAGCTTAGGAGAGAGACAGAGATACACACCTTGGGAGACAAAAAGGAGGAAAGGTGTGGGTATGCTTGGGAAAAAGAAAGAGCATGTGCAGGGTCCCTGTCTTAAGGGCTTTTATCTGGAGGCCTCAGGGGGAGGATCACAACTGAATATCAGCTCTCCAGGTGTGCCCCTTCAGGGTCGTCATTTCCACTGATTGGTTGGTGCCAGGGCTGGGGGCCATTAGTCAGTGCAGCTGGTCCTGACATCGGCCATGGCATCACTTGCCTGATTTTGCCATTTCTCTGAGCCTGCAGTTGAAACACAGCTAAGGCCTCAGATGTCATCTCCAGGGGTTAATGCTTAAGGGGGTGATCAAGCAAGGGCTTGTAGTTTTGCCCATTGTTAGGCACCTGAGGCTCCCTTGTGACCCTGACCCTCTGTACCTGGCCTATCATTCCCACTCTGCTCATTACTGTCTAATTACCTACTACAAAAGTATGGCAAATTGTTTTGGGTGGAGTAACAGCATGCACCGAGATCCCTATGATAGGGGAGAACCTGAGATTTCTCAGTGAACCAAAAAGCTAGTGGGGCTCCAAAGCAACGACCTGGAGCCAGATTTTGCAAAACTATGTGGATCATAGATTTGGGCTTTTTTTTTTTTTCTTCAGTGCCTAGGCAAGACACTAAAGGCATACACGGTTTAAGAGATTACTCTGACACTTTGGCTTTGTAACCATAATTAAGTGGCAGGACCAGACTTAAGCTCCTCTGTAAACTAGAAAACTGGACAAAACACTATATGAAGTAGCATTTATTGACAAGATTAAAGAAAGTGATATACCTCTAGACAGATTAATTAATGGGAAAAAAGGACAGGAATTAGGTAAGTCAAAAATGAGATAAGACCTAAGGACAGATACTATGGATATTAAAAGGGCAATAAATGAATATTATTAAGAATGTTATGCCAATAAATTCAACAACAACTTAGATGAACAGTTTTCTCAAACGACATAAGTTACTAAACCTAAATCAAGAAGAAATCTGGATAATCTTAAGCTTATTTTAATTGAATTAATAATTATTAGTAATTAAAAATCTTCCAACAAGATGCAATCCCAAAAACACAACCCACAAAACAGAAAGGAATAGTAAGTTACAGTTTATTAAAATAAAAATAAACCTGCTCTGTGAAAGTTACTGTTAAGGGATGAGAAAACAAGTCACAGTCTGGGAGCAAATATTTGAAAAACACACACAAAAAAATCCTAGCATCAAAAATATACAAAAAAAAACTTCAAATGTAACTATAAGACAACATAAATTTTAAAATGGGCAAAAATATCTGAACAGACACCAAAAATAAACAGCAAATAAGGATTATGCATAGATGCCCAACATTATA